AAAATAAAATGTTTATTTACAAAAAACAAAATGTAACAATAAATAACTTTTATTGTATCTTTACTCTGATGTGTGAGCTTTGTTTTCTTGAAAGTGCTGTTCAATAGAAACATGAAGAACCGGCTATGAAAAAGAACTTTGGAAAACTTATGTTGTGTCCATGCCAAGTGCAGTAATCATTATTATTTTGGGCCAAACCTTGTCTAATAGAATTGTTTGAGGGTCCCCACAGAGAAGACTTGGAGAAAAGTGCTCCTCAAAGTTACAATGCCTTTGGTTTAAATGCAACCCCAGAGTTAAAAACAATAATTTAGTATTATTCGTATGTAACATCAAATCCCATGCAAGAGGATATTTTATAACAAACCATAACCTTGTTGATCTCTGACCTCTGATCAAATCCGGTGGACTACAAGACTATAGTATCCCATTTTAATCAATAGATCCAAAAGCATGTAACAAGCATAATTCTTAGTTTTCCAATACGTATATTAAATTCTTAAGAGCCTCTTGCATTTGTTAAGCTTGACCAAATAATCAGTGAACTTCAGAAAGTGGAATAATTGAAAGCAATAGGTTTTTTTGAAGCGGGACAAAAACAAAATGACCAGGGATGATAAGTAAGATTTTCACTTTGTGGGTTTTCAAGAAGAAAACGCGGGCACAATACCCTCAGAAATCCCTTGTAAACCTGTTGTATACCTGGACGGAACTGCTTCAAGACATAAACCAACAGAACATCATATTCGAAAAAACAGATATTTTACTCACAAATGACTCGCTTGCACCAAAACAATAACCTGAATTACAGCCGTCTTCTCCGGCCAGTCGCTCACTCGCGGGAGAGAAACAGATGCAACGGGAAAAATTACAATGAATTATAGAACAACTCACTTTTTAGTTGTTTCCAAAGCATTCTTTTTTCCTTATGATATAAAAAAATAATGAAATAAATAGGCACAAACTTGTTAGCGTGCTTACCTATTTTCGATGTACTGATTACAAACGCAGTGAGTACAGTACGCAGTGCCTACTAAGCGCGCGATAAGCGAAGAACTATAGCGCAAGAATGGTTACTCCCTGTCCTCAAGGTACTTCCCAATTCATAGTAACGAAAAGACAAATAAAAGGCTCGATAAAACAAGAATAAAGGAGAATTTTGGTCAATACTCTTTCTTCTCCTCTCCACTAGTTCCTCTCCCTTGTCCGCCATTTTGTATGTTTTGAAAATGGCCATCGCCATGGTGATCATGTTATGGTTGGTGACGTAGACCATTGTTTTCGCTTCTTCCAAAACTGGCATACTCCCGAACTGGATACATAAAGACATTGATTGCAATGGTTTTCTTTTGACAAGTACTGGGTGTTTTTCAGATTCTTTTTACCGAAAGGAAAACAAACTTTTTGTTTGTTTGTTTGTTTGTTTTATCATATAAATAAGAGGACAAACAAATTTAGTGAAACTTTACAAGCACAGTTAAATTGAAGACTACCGGTACATGCATTTGTATAACCCCCCTTTCAGTTTGAATGAACGCACTTCATGTAGCTGAATGCTGTTCATGAATGGCTGAATGCTGTTCATGAATGGAAGTAAACAACAGTAACATAATATGATTTCTGTTCGTACTTTTCGGTAAGCAACTTTTCAAAACTGCTTGGCTAGTTACTCTCACCAGACAGCGCCGCTGTACATCGCTTCCATGACTTGTTTGGTTATCTTAAGGGCTCCAAAATCTTTCCTTGGCATAATTTTTAACCTGGGGCTAGTTTATGACTTTATAATACCCTAAAAATGCCCCCATTTTTATAGACATTAAACATCGCTGACTTTATTTTTGTTCTGAATAGAAGTTTGGAAAACAGTAAATTCCTAATTTATGCAGGGCAGTGGAGTGATTCAACCTGTCAAATTTTTAACCAGTGAAACTCTGTTGTCTGTCTTCAGTAGCCAATCATCAAGCGAGAAAAGTCATTGACAATAACATTGTGCTAGTTTAAAAAAGTCATGCATTTTGTTGTGTTTTCTTCATTTTTACCAGCAAATTTGACATTTCCGAGCTTTTGTTATTGTAAAAAACAAATTGAGGCCAGTGTTTTTATGTGTCTTTCCTGCTCTGACACATCACGTCATTTTATCATCGATAAGAGGACAGACACAGAAACTGGTGTCAATTTGTTAAATTGACTGAGTTGACTATATATATTAAGAATAGGCAATTTCAATTTCAGGCTGATTAATGTCAGTTTGTGTCCTTTTATATAAATTTCCACACTTCAATATTTAGATTATTATTAATTAATTAATTTTTTTGAAGCCCTGTTAGATTGGGTTACTATTTTACAGTCTTGCATGCGGTTTAGGGGTTGGTGTAAAATTTGAGTTTTTCATAGAGGGGGTCAGGTGTGAGGAGGCAGGATTACATTGCAGGTCACTGGTCACAGGTGACAGTACAAGCAACACAATTTGGTGACATTTTTATCGTATCAAAATGACTGTTACTTAAAGTTACTAAAGGATTAAGAAGTAACAACTGATACATGTAACATTTTAATACAGACTTGGTAATTAAGCTGCAGTTTTGTCAGCATTATAGCAGGTCACTGTCGTTAAGAGCCGGGGGAAGGGAATTTCCCCCATCTACCATGAAAGTGGTCCCTGGCTACTTTCATAGGAAAAAAGAAGAAAAATAGAACCAAAAGAAATCCCTAGCTGTTTGATTCCCCACCTACTTGTTGTATTTATCCTGTATTAATCTCGAAATCTTAGTGAAATCCCTGATTATAAGTGTGACAAATATGCTTACCAGCATTTTAAGTGAAGTGTGTGTACATTTAAACTGCTCGGACGAATAAACAGTAGAAATAACTTACACATTATTTTTAACATTTTATTTTTAGTTATCAGATTTTGAAAACGTTATCCTAGCCAAGTTCATACGACTGTTGATCCTCTCTGAATCACCAATCTGTGCACTGATAAAATGTGGAAAGAAAGTCGGCAAATTTAGATTTCAGGTAATTTATTCTTGTTTTTTACTGCTCTTTCATTATTGATATGGCCATGGGTGGTTAAGTCTTTGGAGCAATAGATATTATTCAATCTTTTGGGGTTTCCTGCTTTCATTTGCTTGTTCCTTGGCAAATTCAGGATACAAAGGGATATTTAGTCCAGCAGATATTTTCCAAATAGCAGTTGTCATTTCTTGAGTTGTATTTTTGCTCGTCTTGATTTTTATGCAGAAGTTCGTAAGGTATCTCTGCCTCACAAAATCAATAGTTCTGCCATTTTAAGCTCCATCCTCTGGAAACAACTGAGCTAAAAACAAACTCATCCCCAGGGCTTTCTCAGTTACTGTCATTTTTTCTGGCAATAGCTTTTGTACTATTGATGTCATTTACCTGGATATTGCAAACATCTTCCAAATTTGGTCAGTGCTAGCTGGTTATCAAGAATTTGCCTAGGGATTTGAGCTAATCAGAAATTGAGAATTGCCAATTTTTTTTTTTTTCAGTTAATTGTTTATATCCAGGTGAAAGGCTTCAATTATTACTGTTATGACAATTAACTGTGGAGAGAGAGAAAAATAGAACAAATGCCGGACTGCCCAAAGCTAATTCACCATCAGACAGAAGAATACTGAGGGAAATGCAGTGTATTTTTTATACTGGGCTAGAACTGTCGATTGTTTTGTTTTCTAATTAATTTGAATTGACTGACAGATTGGATAGATGGTGGACTAAAGTGGAGAAATACAGTAATGGAGCAATGATCAAAGACAATGTCAGCGGGTAAGTTGGGGATTTCATTTGATATAATTATAGATATTTAGCACACTTGTATTAAGTAATTATTATTAAATAATTTCGTAAAAAGTAAAATTCTTGAATTTTGGATAAGATAATTGCCTGGGTGGAAATTAACGCAAGAGCTCGCAGACTAATGCTGCAGCATCTCTGAGATTTCTGACAGTAACTCATGAGAACTGAAATGATGTGAATGATCAAGCCCACTGTTTGGCATTATGGACACAGACATTACTACTTTCTGTCTAAAAACTGTATTTCCAGGGATATCAGCTAGCCTAAAACTCTTTTATAGAAAACATCGGGCCAAACTCAAAGCAATCTCCCCTCCATAAACCTTGTCATCATGTCCTGAGGGTGATAATAACAATAGCTTGTCCCAGGCATGATAAATCTGAGAACAGCATGAGAGGAAAACAGAGGGAAGGAAGGGGTGGGAAGGGGGCTCAGCTCCACTCCCCATTATCTGATATCTAAGAACAGGATATGATTACAGTCAGTCAAGTGTATCAAACAAACTATTAACAAACGTGAGGTTAAGTCAACAGAGGAGAAGGGGGTGGGGTGGGGCTCAGTTCCATTCCTCAATGACTGATATCTAGGAACAGGATATGATTACAGTCAGTCAAGTGTCATTTCAAACAAAGTATTAACATACGTGATCAGATATTTATCTAATTTATAGGAAGCAGAATTTTCAGCCATTTGCAGTAACACACCATTCCTTTTCAAAGCTTTTGTATAACAGAAAAGAGGATAATTTACTTTAGAAAAATTTTGCACAAACTCTTTCATTTTTTTTTCATAATAAATCTGAACAGTAAATTAAAAAATCATTTTTATTATAGTACTTACTCCAGTTAACAGGTCACAGTAACGTTAACCATTTCTGCCTCTCCTTGAAATTGAGTCTTGATTAGTCATTAGTCATTTATTCATGACTAAAACGCTTTTCATTCACGTGCAAATTATTTAACACATCTTTATGTAAAAAGATGTGCACTGAACACTCGCTTTCATAAAGAGGATAAGGAAAATAGGCTAATGTACTGCAAGAGAAATGTAGAAAATTTAATGTTGCTTTTAAGCCAGATCTCCTTATGAATATTAATTTCTCTTCAGAATAGGATAGTAACAAAAACAATTTTCCATTGTTTTTCTTCCCCCTGCAGGAATATGTAGTGAACCTTTTCATGGCTGCCGCAGCACCATCACCGCTGGCCAGTTGTGTGGAGAAGACAAATGGAGCCAAGCTCAGCAGGCTTCTCATCGCCGGTGGAACAACAGTTCTTAGGAAGATTTTTGATGGCCATCATCCTCCTGCAAACTTGATTATTGACTTAAATGCCAATTACCCCATCCTTAACAATCTCTTAAGTCGTCGAGTTCTAAATGGCCATCAGTGGGACAAACTATTTCCACCAGGTGGAGTCCCTCCAGACTCCAACACCTTTGACATCACTCTTTTGTTTCTCCTTCTGACTAAGATTTGTGGACTAACCCCTCCCCCCTCAGGATGGCATACTAAACCACCCTCAAGTGACACGTCTCATGAGGCTAACCTTGCACGGGTTAAGTTCTATCGCAATATCTTGTATGGTCATGTGACAACCACTGGTGTTGATACACCAACTTTCTCTGCTCTGTGGACTGAAATTAGTGGTGTTCTTGTGAGTCTTGGTCTTGATCAGGCGGAAGTTGATAGGTTGAAGGCAGAGAAAGGTGGAGAGCAAGATTATATTGACGTGTTGATTGAATGGGCTGTTAGGGAAGAGGATATCAAGTTACAGCTGGAGAATAATCGTCAGGCCCAAGCCAAGACACAACAAAGCGTTGAAGAACTGGGTCTAAGCTTGAAAGGAGTTAAGGTAGGTGTCGAGGAAATAAGCGAAAAATTGGATAGTTTAAAAGGCGAAAAAGACAAGACCAAGTCAGAAGAGGTCCTTCAAAAACTTGCTAAGTCGGAATTCAGGGGAGATATTGAGTATCACTTACAAAGATTTCAAGACGGCACCCGTGAGTGGGTCTTTGACAGAGTTCAGAACTGGCTGAATGACAGAAGCTCTCAAAACCGCGTGATGGTGATCAGTGGAAATGCAGGAATGGGAAAATCAGTCATTGCAGCTGTGATTTGCAAGAGAATGCAACAAGCTGGCAGGCTATCAGGAAGCCATTTTTGTCAGTATAACAATGTACGCTACTGTAAGCCTCAGTTGATGATTCAGTCATTAGCTTCTCACTTGTCCCATGCCCTGCCAGAGTACAAGCGAGCCCTCGGGGAACAGCTGTCAAGAAATCTGGGTACAGATCTCAACAACATGGGTGTGGAGGAGTTATTTGCGTTGCTTTTCAAGGAACCTCTTAGTGCTGTAGGGGATCTAGGAAGAAACATGCTCATGGTGATAGATGGCTTGGATGAAAGCGAATATCAAGGACAGAGTGAGCTTCTTAATGTGATTGCAAATCAGTTTTGTAAGCTTCCTATTTGGATTCGTTTTCTTGTCACGACGCGTCCTGCCTTAAACATTGCAGAGAGACTGAAACATTTGAAGCCACTTGAACTGCAGCCTGATGGTGAAGACAATCTTGAGGATGTCAGAGTATTTTGTCTGAAAAGGCTGGAACATGTTGTCAAACCAGCGAATGTGGGCGAGTTAGTGGAACGACTAGTTTTGAAATCTGAAGGACTGATGTTGTACGCCCATTTTCTCATTTTGTCGACTACTGAAAGTGCATCAATTTCCCCACGAGAGGGAACTTGTCGGCAGTTCACCCTTAGGAATTTTTGCCGTGTATCATTCCTATTTTAAACGTTTGGAACGTGAACTCATAAATGAACATAACATCAGGGAAGAACATTTCCTGAATCTGTTGTCTTCCATTACCGCTTCAAGGGAACCCCTGCCAGTGGGTTTTGTTTCTAAAGTATTAGTATCAAGTTCTAATTCACCACTAACAAAGCGTAAAGTACACAGCGCCTTAGGCAGTGTGTCTGCACTTCTTCCTATCCGTGACGATTGTCTTCACGTCATCCACAAGTCAGTTAAAGACTGGTTAACTGACATTTCATGTTATGGGGAGCATGAATTCATCGTGGATGAAAACGAGGGTCATCGCTTACTTGCGGACCTGTGCATTGAAGAACTTGAAAATCTGAAGCTTAAAGGTGTCGATAACCTTCAGTTTGGCGCCACTGAGAGGTACGCTTTGTATCATGGTGCACATCACATGCTACACGAAGGCGTCAAGAGAGAGCCACATAAACTGGACGAACTGACTAAAGCCTACATTATTGATTTAGAGGTAGTGTATGCCAAGACCTTCGTGAACAGCACAATAGCGGCTGACGACCTTTTTGGCTTAACGAGCAGGGGATTTTTACATTGTTATCAAAAGATAACCAAAGTATTGTGGACACCTTGTTGTTTGTATTGAGGAAGAACATCCGTTTGCTTACAGATAACCCTCGTACGTTTCTTCAAACCATACTTAACCAAGGAGGAAAAGTGTTGACTGTTGAAGCGTCGAATCTTTTGCGAAATAAGTATCCTGAAATACCATATATGGAGGTTGTTCATAAGGAGACGCAGCAGGGAGGTGTTTTAGCGCGATTTGAGTGTCTATCTGTTGTGATCTGTTTGGACGTCTCTCCACAGTTGGATTATCTGGTGTGTGAATGTGATGACGGAATACTGCAGCTGTGGTCACTCCAGACTGGCAGGCTAGTGTGGACACGTCCAGTCTTAGTAGAGAAGAGTTCCATGAGGAGCTGGTTGGGCCACAAGAGTAGAAAATTACCTTCAGTCAACGCGTTGTCATTTTTCCGCTCAGTTGTTTTTCACCCTACAAAGGAATGTATTTTACCTGGGATTCTAAGTCAGGCCTATACTATGGACGGAAACTTGAAACCACTCTTTCTCGGAAGTAACTGTAGATTCTCAGTTTGCTCTATTTCCGGCGACAAGGCCAAGATTCTAACTAATTGTCTTGAGAGTTCTAAAGGCCTTGTCATGTGGAGTTTGGAAAATGGCTCAGAGGTTGATCGAATCCTCGTAAATGAAGACATTTTATCTTTTGCATGGTCTGGTGATGGAAGGTTTCTTGTAATCTCACATTCTTCGGGAGTGATTAGTTTGTATGATGTGATGTGTAATTTCAGAAAACTAACACAAATGGCTACCCCAGAAGTATGGGGCGTGGTAAAGTTTTCACCTGATTATCGATTCATTTTTGGTTACGCTGTGAAAAATTACGACATATACAAATACTCCTTTTTTTGTCTCGAGGTTGTAAAGGAAGCAAACAACACGTTTTCCTTAACGATTGTGTCTGGTGATTCTGAGGCTTTTGAATCTTTTAATGATTGTGGGTTTTTATTTGGCGATCTCATTTCCACAAAAGGTCCTAAGTTTGGATTGACGTTTGCTCTGGACAAGCAACGTCTGCTACGTTCCTCTTTGAAAGCAATAGAAATGGTGGATAGCAAATACGAAAACAGAAACGATCAGAAACGATCAAGGCGTGCTACTTCAGCTTCTGGGATAGCACTCAGTTTGGATGATCAGACCGTGTCTGTTGCGAGGGTCGCATCATCAGTCACTGCTTATGACGTGTCGAGTGGGAAGCTTAAAGCTGAGATAAACTGCTGGCCTTTACCGTACCGTCCTTTGTGTCCTGTTAGTGGTGGAGTCCTAATCTTAACGAATAACACCACTGTTGAGTTGTGGAGTGGTAACCTCGCTGAACGAATCAAAAGGTGGACCAACTTGCCTGGAGTCAAACAACTGATCCCTATATCACAGAAACGAGTAGCAGTCGTAGGAGACGTTGATGTGAAAGTCCTAGATACAAGCAGTGGAATAGTTGTATCAACAATCCCAGTTTTACAAGGAAGAGTTCTTACCTGCAACAGTAAATGTCAGCTGTTAAGTGATACCACATTTGAAGGTTCCTGTCCTTGGTCTCTTCAGCTTTTGGATGGCGAAACAGTCGTTTGGAGAAAGAAAGACATTGGAAGGTTCTCTGTCTCTCATGATTTTAATAAGGCTGTGGCTTTCTCACCTATGGAACAGTTCCTTGTTGTTGGCACGACTGACGGCCTCTTAGTCTTGGATGGCGAAACAGGAAACACGCTCCGTACTTTAGGTCTTTCATTTTCCCTTTTTCTTCATTGCACGTTTATCAGTGACGACACATGTGTTATTTCTGCTCGTGATTTAACTGTTCAGATGTTTAACGTCAAATCTGGTGAACTTCTAACTGGAATTGATGTGGAAAGTGACGTGAACTGTTTAGCAGCCTGTCCCTTCAATCGTGTTCTCGCCATCGGCCTGAAGGACTCCACACCTAATTTCAAAGTTATCAGGGTGCATTTGCCGCGGGGCGAAGGCGATGGAAACATGGAAAGGTTAAACTGACAGTATTTGAGTGAGAATGTTTTTTTTTGCTTGAAGGCTTGCCCTAAATGTTAGTGATTTATCTCTTTTTTTGTCCATATCTTTACGGTGGATTCATTTGCAGCATACCCGTATAACCAGGCTATTTGCTCGTGAGAAGTTTTGTTTTAATGGGCAAATGCGTTGGTTATACGCATATGCTGTAAATGAATTTGCCCTCTGAATGATGACCAACGCAGATGTAACGATACCTTATTTCTTATTTTTTTAGCGGTCACTCTGGAACCACATTGTACAAAGAGGAGAGATTAGATCCACCAGAGCAAGTATGTTTCCGCGTAGGTTATGATATAAACTATGTAGAAACATTTAAATATGGATATGAATGTTTAATAGATTCAAATCGCACTAAGAACAAATGTTTCTTTTTAGCTATGGGGAAGTCTGGTAAAATATTCAACTTTTTAATTGACTTTAAAATATGTCATGAATCAATAAATATTCTACAACTATCCCCTGAAGGGGAGGTGAATAGCGGTGGGTATATATCGGGACGCGAAGTGTCGAGGTATATATCTAGCGCTGCTCACCGACCCTGAGGGGGACAGTTGTTTTAGTATTTACGGAATCGGTTGGATAAAAAAATGAAAAAAGTACCTTTTTGTAAACTAAAAATGTCACTGAATAGGAAATTCTTTTATAATTTACAAACATTCTGGGAATTTTTTTCAAGTGCATTTTTACAATTTTGTTGCGAATTCAGCATGAGAACAATTTTCTACCTATACCAGTAGACACTGACAAGGCAAAGTTAGTCGCTTTCTTGTTATTTGTTTGTACGACTGCTTCATTTATCGCTCAAATTTCGTGCTCCGAAAATGTCTCGAAGCGAGACGCCATCTTGGCTCCGGTCACAAAACAGTGAATAACCAATAGTCAAGGATATTCCGAGTTACGGGAGCCAGATTTGGTAAATACTAAAATTAAAATCAATTTTTAGTTATAATATTGGACAAAACGACCATGGTCAAGGAAGATCGATTAGCCTTCATCAGAAAGCGTTTCCAGGCGAGTTACTGAGTTGGAGGAAAGCAAAAGAAATGCAAGATCGAAGGGTGAACGAGGAGGAGGGGAGGAAACGCTTGCCCGAAAATCTCGCGATTCTGGAAAACGCCCCTTGATATTTCACGGTTTGGTTCATTTGTAAATTGACAGTTTGTCAACTTATAGCAGCTAGTAACGTGAATAACAGACAGAGTAGATTCACACAATACGTGGGAACAAATTTGGGTCTAATACAGGGTGTCCGCTTAATGTACTTGAGCCTAATACGGGTTACATTTATTCCAGAATAACCAACAAGCCAATAAAATAGAAGGACAACAGCAATCTGAAAATGTGCAAGAGGTAATTAAGGATAGTAACTAGCAGTCACTGAATATGGCTGAGAACGAGACGAAAAATAATACACTTAAAAGCATGCTTACTTCGATCGATGTCATCATAACTAGGAGGGAAGAATCCAAAATGCACGATAGAGCGAGATATAGTCTAGCACATATTCGGCCTCAAATAACAGTTATCATCAGTGCTATTTTTAGTGTGCTTGTTACGTTTTAGGAAATAGTGTGACTATCTTTTTTTTTGCAAAACAAATCAACTTCACCACGCCTTCTGTTATCTTTTTTTCAGAACAATTATCCGTGAGAGTGCCTTATGTTTTACGATTTCGGAAATAGCGCTGGGATTTAGGCCAATGCGAAACGGAAAATATTTGAACGAATAATTAACAATTAATGAATGAGGCTGAGTATCTTATGAAGAATTATGGAGATCGGGGAGCGTGTTATCCGTCGAGGCCGTTGGCCGAGGCGGATAACACTGTCCGAGATCCTCATAATTCTTCATATGATACGAAAGCCGAATTCAATAACTGTTTTATTATTCATTCAATTAATTCCTAGTTTAAAAACATGGCTGAAACATGCTTACCTCCATCGATCCATCGATGTTAATTTCATCTTCGATAGTGCACGTTTAGGTTTGTCCAGCTCCGCAAATATTCTCCAAATAGCAGATGCCGCCCTTCGAGTTGTCTTCTTGCTGTTCTTGCCATGTTTTTAGCTATTTTTTCGCCTAGTTCTTACTCTTGAAACAAGTGAAATGTCCGCCATTTTTCAAGTTCACCACCAAAACAATAACTCAACCTCGTTCCCAGGTCTTCTCGGTTAACGGTGCCTTAACCTACGAAAACACTGCATTTTTTACATCATTTCCTCGTTAAACACAAAATTCTTCCAAATTTGGTAATCAGTAACTGGTTATGGTGAATTAAACGTGTGGTTTTAGCCAATCAGAATCGGGAAAATATTTTGAATGAATAATGATTAGCAGTTATTGGATGAGGCCAAGTATGATATGGAGAATTTTGCAGATCGAAGTGTTTGTTATGCGCCTCATCGGCATTAGTGTTCACATTCATATGAAAGCGAGCTGAAGCCATTGGTTTTTTGTTACCTTTTTTTCTTTCAGTATGTTTTAAACTTGAAAACATGCTTACCTCGATCTATGTAAAGCTTACGTCTTCATAACAATTGTCCGTTTTTTGGCAGTTATAAGATATGAAGTGGTGTTTATTTTAAAATGTTAATTAGTATCTTTCTTGTTTTGACGTGGAAAATCTTCCGCTATTTTCTGGAGCTATGACAAACACAGCTTAGCTACCTCGCCTTCTGCTGATCCTTACTCGGGTAACCTCACGAATGAGCAAGGTTAAAAGCGAAACAGGCAAGATCTTATCCAATCAGGATTGACCACTTTGTGCGTGCAGAAAGAAAAGAAATTCCTTTAACCATATTACAGTTCGTACAGTCTCTGTGTGATCTCTTCAAATTTTGAGTTTTCAATAGAATGTATGGCGATGTACAAAGTAGCTCCTAACTTGTATTGTAGTGAAACGATTCGAAAAAAAGTTGCTTACACTTTGTGAGTTGCGTAAACTAGTGCTGTTTCCTTCTGGAGTCCATAAAAATGGTCCAAAATCGCCAAAATGGTCTGCATCAGACTTGCCTGTTACCTTAAAATATAGCAGAGCACTTGCATTGTGACACCCGTTATGTACTCAGATTTCGGCATGTTATATGGTATATTTCTTTTCCAAAGCAGAAAAAAGTAATTCTTTACCTCTAACTGATTGCGTGAATACTTTTTTTTAGGCAAGCAGGAATTCTCAATTTGAGAAAAAAAGCCGGTGAGTCTTGTAGTAAATTGTTTTTTTTTTGTTTTTTCTTTGTTTCCCTCGCCTGAATTAAGCTGTGTTCGTTGGGTTGGAAAATGTTTAATGAAAAATCGACTGAGCTCCTCAAGCTCTTTTTAACCTTCTAGTTCTCATTATTGCAAGGCTATGTCTTTAATATCCCTACAGTTGAATTGTTTAACTGTTCCCGCTTTTCGTTATGATGCAGATGTAGGTGCGACAGTTTCTTCCAAAGTTCATGTGTATCATCTACGGTTATGCTTCTTTCATTTTCAGCTGTGTACTTGTTTGATGACAGCAAAGGAAGATAGTTCAGTCCGTTTGAACTTGCACGACAGTTTCTCTGCGGCTTCCAAATTATAATCAATTAGTGCAAATTATTAGCTAGGTTTTCGTAGATTAACAAAATGTTTTTAAATAACGTTCTATGTAACTGAGAATGAGACATATATATCAAAATTGAAATATGTCTTATGCCAATTACATTTTGCTCAGATTTTACAGGGGTAGGGTGAAAAAACATTGTTTCCCACTTTTCAATTAACTCGAGGTGAACGTATGAATTTCTTCTTTAGAGAGAGTTAAGAGGTGAATTATTTTAGATAGTACTATACTAATTGAAATAAAATAAAAAGTCATCTATTACACTAGAAGCTAGGCCAATATAAAAGAAGTTGTTTTTTAACGAGTGTCTTTGAATTTGAAGTAGCCACTCACTTAGTTTTTTTAGCCAAAATAATTTAAAAGTTTAATAAGAAAGTTATCATGCAGTTAGTCATTTGCACGTAGTAGTCTGGGACCGCATAAAACGAAGCTCTCACTCTGTGAGTAACTGGGACTTAGTATGACTTCAGTATCACGTGTTTTCGTTTTGGGAAATTCGCAGCCCCCAAGAACTTTCTTGCTTGCTCGAACATTCTGAATGTTTTCTGATGTGGTCTCAGATTGTTATTCTGAGAAGCGGATGTATTGCTAGTCTGACAGTTTTGAATTATAATCTTAAAGATCATCTGAAAAAAGTCTTCGACTGTGTCCGTTATATTCACACCCCTTTATAAACAGGAACACACAGAACAATGATAAAACGTAGGAATAATGATGCAGTGAAATTACTGTTGCGTCACAGTATTTTTTTTTGTCAAAAGTGATTTAGACCAATGATTGGTTAAAAAAAAAACACTTTGTGCACCACACTGAACAAAGGTGCTCATAAATTACATAGGTTTCAACAGTTTTTTTAGATAAAGAAGCATCAAGTTTAATGGACAGATTATATTATCAACTAATTTTAAATTTGCGTTTTAAAGGAAGGGGAACCAATTTTTTAAGATTAATATTTTCATGTAAAAAAAAAAAAAAATGAAAGGACTCCTGAAAGGATATTTCAGAAATGTATTTCAAACAATTTTTCCGGGAGGATTACATAGATGTGTGTAAAAAAAAGTTAATTGATTCGCATTCAGTCCGGGCCATAGCCATTTCTGGATACTCTATGACGTCATCAAAAAGGGCTTCTGGTGCCGAAATTGAGGAAACTCGTTTACTACTCTTCTTTGAGCTGTAGCAGATTTAGTCCTCAGTTATATTCCATGAAACCTTGCGAAATTAAAGGCGAAGAGTGACGAAATACAACAAGCGATCAATAGGTGATAGCTTCGGTTGTGATTGGCCAGAAATTCTGTGGAAAAATCGAGGAAAGAGGCCGTTAGAGGGCTTTCTGGGAGGG